AAGAAGAGTCATCCAACAAAATCTCCAGAGAAAGCAAATACTGTCGTTAGGAAGAAACATTATAGGTACTTTTTTAACTGTTATTTTGGTGTTGCGCGCAAATACGCTCTTAGTTTTTTTACTTAACTTATATTGGACATAGTAAGAATACATTCAAGGTATATTCAATTCATTTAGTTCATATGAAAACCATTGTTGATTATTTTTATTACGTAGTAATACAATTGTTGAATTTAATGAATTGTTCATGAAATAATGTGAATTTCTGTTTATTTTCTTAGAAATAACAATTTAAATGTTAACTTACTATATATCAAGAGTATTTTTCTATTTTCACTTGAACGTCCTCTTTTGTTTCCATCTTCAGTCACTTTGTACAACCTGAAATATAAAATGGACCAGGTAAAATTCTTATAAAACTTATATGCAACAAAAAATTGTTTGTCAATAATTCATTAAATTGATTAAACATGTTCAAAAATACTAAATGCTCCACACACACAGAAATACTACAAGTGAAACATTGATATGAAATATTTATAGCAACACATAAATATAAATAATGATCAAGTTCATATTACAACAACAAGCAATAGTTACAAAACAAATTGAAATAACCATAGCAGTTCTCAAAGCATATACTCTTTGCACATGGATGGTGTTTATATACTCCGTAGTATTCAAGTATCATTACCAGAAAGACATATTTGGATATAGGCTCCTGCAGACAATTTCGTTTACTTGGTTAATTAAATGTAAATTTGATAAAGGAACACAGGCTAATGAGCAAAGCAACACGTGGTTTAAGACAATAAGTATAATACTCCGTATTATAAAATTTATATAGTTTATAAAACACAACGAAATAAACTAATAGCATGAAGTGAGAAAATACAAATAAATTTAGTATATTGAGTTTTCATATCATCCATTATATAATATGAATCTCTATTGAAACCCCAAAGTTTTACCATACAAATGGTTTGCAAGTAGGCGTACAAATATTTATCTTTTATAACTAAACAATAAACTGATAATCCAAACAAGTGAAAACTTTGATTTTTTTTTTATTCAAGAGAAATCTAAAACAAAAGCTATGTCAGATTTATTTATGTAAAAAATCACATCCTAATCAATTGGGTCTAATATCATATCCAGAAATACCACGATAAAAATCAGAGCTGAGATTTAAATATCATTAAACTCTTCTCCCATTCTGATGCTTTAAACTTCAGCGTCTTTAGCAATAAATATAGGAGCTGAGATTATAGGAAAAATATAAAACAGTCTTTAAGTATTACGTAGTTAAGAAATAGCTAAAACTAAAATCATGCAATGCATATATACATTAGATTGTAAAAGAAAAAGGTAATTTCTAAGATTGGTTACAAAGTTTCATTTTGTTCAATTAATTGCATTGGGATATTAATTTTTAATTATATTTTGATTTAGATTTTGCTAGAAATATAAATGTAGTTTATTAATATGTAACTTTTAATTATTAAAAATTGAATCATTCTTCAATAGGAATTGTTTGACTGTAATATTGATTGACAAAAAATTGTTGATTTTGAAAGTTGACGGAGGTAGTATATATTATAAAATAATTGAGTTCAATTTGTAACTCTAAAATTGGTTCAATTTTTTTATATCAGTAAAATTCTGGCTCAAGCAACTGAATTAGCTAAATATCATAAAACGTTATATCTAAAATATATTTTATTATTAATTTGAAGACGAAATATATGAAAACAATTAAAATTATCTTTTTCATGTGTTTCGGTCAATTTATCAAAAAATTAACTTCAACTTTACATATTTTGGTTATTACACATTTCAATGTAGAAAATCAAAAGTAGATAACATATTGATTAGACAAAGCGTGAAGGATCAAAAATATTAAATACCTCGAGTAGTTCCACAATAAATGGTGTACATCAATATTTTTTCAAAACATGCTATTTTAATATTTTTAATGTTATTAGTTTTTTTGGTATAAACTACAAATGTTTCTTATTTCATACGTAATATACATGTATTTCAATGTTATTGGAATTTACATTAATATACATACATATATATATATATATATATACACACACATATATATATATATATATATGTATATATATATATATTATAAGTGAAATATAAAACTAATATTGTCCCGTGCATCGCACGGGTACGATACTAGTAGAAATGAAATAAAATACGAACTTAATTGTAGGACATCTCGAAAAGGAAAGTGATAAATTAATTGAGGGACGGATTATATCAAAGCATTATTTGCCAGAATGTTGGCTACACAAGTAGGTACATAGTTTAATAACTCTTTACACCCGGCTATGAAATAACCCCCTGTGCTAACACATGAGCGACCCTATTCACGGATCATTTGCAATAACAAACTAATTTGGTTCTTTATCACAAAGCATAAGTCTAATATCATCTAATATAGTGCTAAAGTATGTAAACTCCGAGTATGTTTCCACTTCCATCTAGCTTTTCCCAACCTTCCACTCGAGCACACCTAATAGCCGACAGTTTCTACTACAATTTGATCCCAAACAGCGTCTACCGACTCCTTTCTTGCACCTATGAACTGTCCATGGTCTCCTCTCGCAACCCAACTCCATGCTCGAAATCATTTTGGTTGGTCAACCGTCGCACCCACACTTATTTTTAACCAACCGACTTCCAGCCTTTTCCACCTATCATTCCTCATGTATTTGCTGCCTGCCTTACTTGCAGTCATAGCTTGCAACGCCCGCCACTCTTCCAGTAGTGTACATCCCAAAACGGCCACGGGCGGGCTATGTAGAGACCCAAATATAAGTAAATGCAATATTTGCTTTCCCAAATTTTCAATAAATAATTACTATGGTTAAAAATGAAATAAACCAAAAAATATAAATTATAAGTTAAAAGTGATACATAGTCTATAAAAATCTATTTACTATAAATGATTGTGTATTCTTTTAAACAAAAATATGAAAACTCAAAGGCAGGACCAATTCCTAAAAACAGAAATTCACAATGACATATATTTGTCTTTTCTTCTAGACTTTTTTTTGTTTACCATGTATTATTTTAATGATTCATTTTCTATACTACGAGGTAGTATATATAAAAAATTACAATAACGAACTTCTACAATGATTTTGTTTTAACTACGGCGAGGGTGTATCCATTAACCCCAACAGTGCATGGGGATAGTTGCTCCCCTCAACCCCAAAGCTACCCCTATATATATAATAACCTAAAATTTTATAGAAAGTTGCTCAAAATAAGAATTAGACATGTGAAAAAAAATTAAAGGAATAAAAGGATAAAAAATTCACTCAATTTTGAAATGCTTAACTTTTATTTAGGTACTTTTCTAAAATCTTATCTATAATTTCATATTTGCACACACGTAATATAAATCAATCTTCTTTTTATACATACTTGTACATTTTTAACTTAAACAAAGTCTAGTCAAATAATATTAATTATGTGAATTGTTATTTCTGAAATATGTGACTAAGTTCTAGTGTAAATTGGTCACAACTGTAAAAAAATTCTAAATAAGTCATTGGTATACGGCCCCCAATATCAATTTTCTGGGTCCGCCATCCACCCCCGGGCCACCCCCAGGCCACCCCCTTGCTGGACAGCTTCTCCCCTTTCCAGACTAGACTGTTTCTGCCTTTCCATATTCAAGAACGGAATCAAGAATCTGAGATGCCCTGGACTGAAAGCAATTATACTAGATTTAAACATTAGCGGGGTGGGCTAAATAGAAAAAATGAAAAAAATCACACTAAAAAAATTGGGAAAAAAGGTAAGTTCACTAGGCTTCAGAGTTCAGCCCATCATAGCCTATACATAGAGTCTCCTCTGTCCATACTCCACATGGCCATCATGTTCATTACAATAATGATCAATATTAGTGGATTTTCAAAAATATTACTAAAATAAAACTAATGTACATAAATATGACTAAAAGTTAATACACTATAGTGTCATGACCACTTAAAGGAAGAAATTGAATATAAGTTATCATGACTAAAGTTACTACTATAACCACTATAACCGCTGTACTTAAATTTGTACGAGTCATTTAGCCATTTCTAGGTAGGGATGGACTCGGGTCCGGGTCGGGCCTAGGCCGGGCGGGCCGGCGGTTCAGAAATGGTGGACCCGGGACCGGCCCGGGTAACCACCGGATCCAGTCCGGGTCCGGGCCGAGTCCATTATCATTTTTTTGTTTTCCTCTTCCTAATTAACCCCCCTCCCACCCCCAACCCCCCAAACCACCCCAAATGGCCCAAAATACCCAGCCCAACCCGAAAATTTTAAAAAAATTGAAAAAAAAAGTTTTTGGTCCGAATCGGGCCCGGCCGGGTCGGGCCTTGTTTTGGGTGACCCGAGTCCATCCCTATTTCTAGGGATGGCCCATTTCTCTCAGTTCAAACTTTCTGTAATGGTGTAATGGTCTCGATTCTGAAGGAATTGAATGGCGTAAGGAAAGAAATTACAAAAAGGATATGTGTACACCTCTGACACACCATATATAAAAGTTTGAAACATACCACAAGTTTTACAAAAATACCGTCTATACACACTTTATATACACTACATACATCTCTTGTTTTTTTTATTTATTTAAACATACACCTCTTGTTAGATAATCCAATTATGTAGATTATCCTATGAGCAATCAAAGGTTAATAATACTCCCTCCGTCCCAAAATTATTGTCACGTTTGATTTTTCACACAGATTAAGAAAATGGCACTCTAACGACACTGTTTGGCACTGTAGCGACACTGTTTGACACTGTAGCGACACTGTTTTGCACTGTTTGACACTGTTTGGTATAGATTTGTTTACCAAATAAGGAAGTTTTAGAAACGGGACAATTATTTCGGGACGGACCGAAAAGGAAAGCGGGACAATAATTTTGGGACAGAGGGAGTATATATTAACTCTTATCATGTGATCAGTAAATTTTCTTTTCTCCAGTACTATCAAACAAACAAAATATACCCATGAATCCATGACATAAATCATAACAAAATATCGGTAATGATGACATGCCAAAAAACATTCCATAACGATAAACTAAACAAATGGTCGTTAAAAGAACTTCAATTCTTATGTTGAGATATACGCCCCAGATGTAGAGCGATGTATGCCAAACATACAGGTAATATTCACAGGCAAACAGTTTCGTCAACAAAGAGCAACACATGCTCAGGATTCTCATTTGTAACAATAGAAAATATCAAGCGCAGGTGACAGCACTCCAAACTGTACCGGACGGCCACACCAATGACTCAATCTCATATATGCCCGCTATAGTTGCTCAAAGAGGTCTGTTACCTAGGTTTTGATGGCGAGGATTTGGTCTTCGCAAAGTCTACCAGATCCTTAAAAAGCACGTCCTCCGCTTTCACTTGTTTGCTTGGGTTTGGTGGGTAAATTGAGAGATTCTTGGTCTGCCCAGCCAAGCTGTCATAAGAGGTTGATCCCATAGTACTGGAATCAGATGTACTGCCAGTAGATAGATGACGCTCGAAGTAATGTTGCCTCTGGTTATATCTGGCAGGTGGTGGTGGGAGGTTTGTGGCAAGGGGGGCACCACCCCACAGAGCCGAAGGTGACTGATCCGCATCAGATTTGGGGTTTGGGGCTATATCGCAGTGATCAGACTTTGCACCAAATAAAGATGCAGTGGGGTTGAGGAATTCATCCGCAGTGGGATTGATGAAATCATCAGAAGGGGGCGAAGAAGAGAGCTTGGGACTTGATATGGGAGGTGGTGGTGGGATTGAATCATTTGACAGACCAGCAGACATAGCAGAAGTAGTTACAGACTGATATGTGTCGCCACTTAGGTAATCAATCATTCCAGCAGCATCAGTAGAAGAAATAGGGTTCCATGATGAAGGTGGTGGGGGGAGAATTGTACTCATCCGGACTGGTTCATTTTTCACGTCAATGGGCTTCCATTCATGCCCTTGCGATGTATCCCTGGAGGACCTGAGATAATACAAAAGATCGTTAGCAGGACTAAAACATAGCACTTCTTCAAATCAGGCATCATTGTTTTTCCTGAAAAAATGGGCTCGTTCACTATCAAAAACAGAGTATTAACTGGATTACCAACTGGACTGAGTTACTTTTAGCACAAACCAAAAAGAAAGATACTCCATCTGAATATGACTCATGTTCTACTCATATTTGTGTTCATTTCTTAAAACGGAATTACAACAAAGCAATAATAGCTTATGAAACTTTCTTGAAGGGGCAGGAATAGGAAAACATATCATTCACACGCTCACAGGGAAAAAAGTATCCAGTTCCTCTTAATTAAAGATTTTCTCGCTGTGAAGAAGGAAGTCAGCACATGAAAGGAGGAGTGTAGAGTAAAAAAAAAAATCTGCACATGCCCTTGAGATTGCATTATAGAGATTAGAGACCATAGAATGGAAAACTGGTGTACAAAGTGAAAACAAAAAAGGATCTAGGAAATTAAAATTTCCAAATATACAGTAGCAATACAGAGTTACAAATTATTCAGATCAGTGTTATAGAAGGGGCTAGAAAACTTTTATTTATTGAAAATTTTGATTACACTAATTTAAAAGAAAGGAAAGACCAAAATAGTGTGAATCAAAGATATTAGTCGACAGGTCGGCACCAACAAAATGTGAACATAGCATCAGATGTTCCACATACATTCTAGTATACATCTATAGACTCAGTAAGATGGAAACATGAAACACGAGATTTAAAAAAAATAGGATATGAAATGTGCGGGGAACACATAAATACTAAAAAATAAATATAATACGATATATTCAAAAAATAAATCACACACACACACACATATATGATTTTTCACTGATTCAGTTATCTATTCCAATTTGATTTTCAAGAGAACCCATTCACATTTTGAACAGTGCTCTCATACTATTTTCCCCAATAAGATAGGGGTATAGACTGCCAGTAGTACTTACAGATATATTTCCAATTATGCCCCTGAATCACTGGCTGATTAATTAGTCTGGATTTCATAAAATAGCATGCGACGAGCATGAAATAATGAACTCAATTTACCGCTAAAATCCTCATAGCAAAGTTTTGCCAGGTAATCCTTATCCAGTCTTTAATATATGGTATTTTGCATCTTTTTATGGTTTTAAACTTTAGTTCTTGATCGCCATAGAACTGTAATTAACATGTGCTAGTGAAAAGTGTATGTATTGACACAAGACCTTGAGAACTGTAATAGAAGCATAGAACCACACTCAAGAGTATGGATACCTGCGGGCTAATTGAACAAAATCATCCTCTGACTCTTCATCCTCATCATTCGTATTCATGAGGGGTGCAACAGGGGTTTCTTTTGTTGCTAACGTGACAGAGGGGGTTCCCTCTGCAATATCATCATGAAGACGAAGAACCCGTTGTATATTGTCATTAAGTGCCAACCCTTTACAAAGAAGCTCCTCATCTCTACATTAAATGGATGACCACATTAAAAATTTAAAAGGCAACAAAATACATCAAGTTTATCAAATAATGATAACAAAGCTGATGGCATCCTTACAGAGTGCTGTTCACGAGAAACATGACTCGCTTTTGGAAAGAATGACACTGTTCCACAAGGTCTATAATCACCTCTTCTTTTACACTCTGTTTGAATATATACAGTAAATTGACATAAAATATAAGTGGTCAACGTGATACAAAACATAAAACTTTCCATCTTGTAGTTATTTTCAAGCATCTAAGTATTAAAGCACTTGAAAGTCCCATAATTTAGAATACAACAAAGGATCTTGATCTTGTCAATCTTAATCTGAAATTTAAGTACAACAACAACAACATTATCCCAATGCCGCAAAGGCTCCCACCTACGGTGGGGTAAGGGGATCTCGGATGTACCCAGACTTACTTTTGTACTTAATCTGAAATTTAAGTTATCAGCATCATCATCATCATTACCCCACTGTCGCAAAGGCTCTCACCTATGGTGGGGTAAGGGGGGTCGGATGTACGCAATCTTACCCCTGTACTAAAGCACAAAGAGCCTATTTCCGGATGACCCATAGTGAACATCGCGTCCAAAATTGCATGGACTGACCGCTGCTTCATAATAAAGAAGCGCAGTCAGTTTAGTGAGCCATTTTGCTTTATTCCATCATATTCTTAAATCTTAAGTAACTTATGAAAAATGTGATAAACAAAACCTAGTCTTTTATAGGAGCTATTAAACAAAGAAGATTGAAGAAGTCATTTTGTTATAAAAAAGGCATTTTCAGAAGAATGGTACTGCCCAAAGAACAAAAATAAACTCTCAAGTTCTTGATATACAATGCAAAGGATGAACTTTACAGCTTATATCTTCAAAAAAGAATGAAACAAATAAAGGGAAAAAATTAAAAAATTAAAAAAAGTTAATAGTCTAACCTGAGGGTTCTTAGGATCCAATGCGCTAAGCATCTCCGTCAAAACATCTACTACACCCTGAGCATTTTGAATCTCCACCAGACTAGAGATTTTAAGAAAGCATAATTTCTCAATAAACAGAGCTTATGAGGATAAAAATAGTCCAAGAATATTCAAATGTAATGAGGAAAACATGTAGCTATAAAACAATACAAAGTATGTTTCTTTTGTTCTCCTTTTTTAATTTCAAACAAGGAAGAGTGTTTTAGTGAAACATAAGCTCAGTAAAGACAATATGGAAGACTAACATATTAAGAAAAGAAAATAAGATAAGCTACCATGTTATATACTACCTCCGTTCTTAAATAAATGCAACACTTTGACTTTTACACTATTCACATGTTCTACTTTGACTACGTTTCATTTATTAATGTCATAATATTATTTTATGAAAAAAATATTGTTAAACTTGTCTCATTGTAAATTTTCATAATCTATTTTTTTTTTAATTTTTTTACTAATACAAAATCATTTATATTAATGGTCAAAGTTGTGTCTCGGCAAGTGTGAAATGTTGACCGTTGCATTTATTTAAGAACGGAGGAAGTATGAGATAAAAAACTAAGACTTCCCAAGGCAGTATTATGTATTTGTCTAATGCAGATAGCTATGGTATCAAGGCTATTTTCCAAACATTATTACTAAAGTTAATACTACTGAGGAATATTGTAAATTTCAAATTATGATGCATGGCATTCTATCAAATCTAATAATTCCCCAACACAGGCACACACAATAAAAGAACTACCTAAGTCCAGATTGATCAGATTCAAGAGAGAGCTGGACTGCAGTTTCTTCATATGTTGAAGCTTCAGGGTGAACAATTGGATGGGTCTGCGGTGGAGTGAATAACGGTACACTGTTTTCTTCACGGGGCGGAAATTCCACACCAAAAGCCTGTCTCATTAGAAAAATCACACGAATTGGGAAAATATGATTAGACTTTAATGTGATTTGATCATAGTAGTTACTAGTTACCAGACGGTGGCATAAGAGAAGAAAATCCACAAAATAAACAGTTTTCCGAATTGTGCTACATATTGTATCTCTGTACAACTCATATAAAGATGCCTGGTTGACGGAACATCTTTAGGTTTTTGGATACATTAGAGAATAAAGAAGGTTGAGAACATGAGGCATCCCCTAAATTGGTCAAACCATTTGAGCCACGGATCACTAGCACATTACTCCATCCCTGGCCACAGTATAAAGAGGCTGCTATGTCGATATGACAGCTTGCCGCAACAGCAAAAGTTAAAATAATGTATGTTTTTTTCCCATCAAGTGTTTAATGATTTTAAATGATTGATTGATTATTTGATTCTGTTAAAGTCTGCAATGATTTATTGATCTCCATTGCATTTGAAAACTCGCTATGGGTAAAGTGTGCAGCTACCACAACTATCAACTTGGAACTAACATTTGCATATAACTAAAGTTTTACACATTGACACACTATGAAGAGTAGTGAATAATAAAAGATTGCTAATTGGATGCATGGAAAAACAGTAGCCCTGGTATCTAATAAAATGTTTGATATAATCATGGATATAGGGTTGCTTCAATCATATCTTTAGATTTAGATATCTTCACTATGATTAGTCAATTTTAGTCAAAAGCTCGTTTTGTAAACTTCAATAATATTTGAATAATATTTTTTATGCAAATAAATAGCAGTTGCTACAACGATATGAGCGCTAATCAAATCATGACTCACCAAACCCTAGAGCTTTAAGAGCGTTCTTTCGGGAAGGGGTTATAGGGAAATCCTTTTTTTTGCAGCTTTCTCCAAACCTCCGGGGAAAACATGAAAAAAAGTCTCGTTACTTTATTGGATAGTGAATGGGTAAAGCCTCAATAATGTAAACTATACAAGTTCACAATAAATAAAGTTTATTCAATTTTTCATTCTTATTTAGAATTTGATAACTTTTATATCTTTTATTTGAAATTCTAATTAGAATCAAATATTAATTATCTTTTTATTGATTACTTTGAGTAAACCAAAAAGAAATTTATTCATGTGAATGAATTAGTTCGTACTACAAATGTTAAAAAAGTGAACGAAAAGAGTAATAAGAAGTGAAAAGGACAGAGACACTTCCCAACCAGAAAGCAAAGTTCCCACTGATGGTATACTTAGTGTAAGCAAGCTCTAAGATCACATCTTTGGAATCATAGCACATGTTTTTACTATGCAAGCTCCATTATATACCCATCACCAATATATCGCAGGATTCCTTATGACAGGAGCTTTTGTTCATGGAGATATTTTTTTTATTTAGAGAGTATCATCTTAAGCTCTGAAAAATAGAAAACTATCTGTTAGACCCTTAGATTTTGATACAGTTTTGATGATGCCAAAGTTTTTGTTATGTTCCTCATCTTCTGTAGCATTTAACTTAAGAAATCAAAGTGATGTATTCTACTCTAACCAAAATGCTAGTAGAGTCTTTTCTGAAAGTGTCTTGCTCAAATGGTCAATTAACAAATAAACTCAACTGGAAAAGTCAAAATGCAATAAGGTAATATTCCATTACCTTATAATAGGATTTCTTATAGATCCTACCAATTGAACTTATTTGTTAATATCACATAAAATGAAAACAAAGTATTTCGAATGCACTATTATTTAACTGGAACACAAAATGCAATAAGGTAATAAGTTTTACCTTAATAGGATTTGTTATCCTACCAGTTAAATATTTTTTTGATTTCGAAATACTAGCTGGCCATACAAACCTTGAGTGACCAAAAGTCAAAAGTAAAATGTTTGTGTCAAGTAAATTATACCGGAAAAGTCAAAATGCAATAAGGTAATTTTTACCTTAAAAGGATATTTAAATCCTACCGGTATATATTTACTTTATTACAAACATTTTAAATCGTCACAAAAAGAAAAGGCACATTGGTACGAAAAATACATGTGTATAATTGAGAACAAATAAATGTATAATTTTTTAGACTAATAAAATTAATACTGGAAATTCAAAATGAAATATGGTAAATTTATTTACCTTAATAGGATACTCAAATCCTACCCGTATAGAGTTTATTAGACTCAAAAATTAACTGTTTGATTATTTGCCTCGTAAAACATCCTGAGCCAATCAAAGTTGAAGAAATTCCAGCATGGAGGGCATTTAATGCAAAATCGTACACTGACCCAAAGCATGGGATGAGCAGTCAAGTGGAAAGCCTAAAGGAGAAAACTGCAGCGGCTAGGCAAATAGAGACAAAGATGTTATCGGCTCCAAAGAAGAAGACAAACAACAAGTTGTTATCTTCTGAATACAAGATTCAACGAACAGGATTAAATCATCTCAACCAACAGATGATATTAATCTACCGGAGACGCCTATAAATAGAGGCCGAAGCATGAGTTAGTAATTTAAGTTCTTGAGTTCAAAAGCAGAGAAATCCTATAAGCATTCAAAGGATATCTAGCAAAAGAGAAAGTGCTTGATCATAACTTCACTCTCTGCTTTGACTCATGCTTCACTAAGGTCTTAGACTAGATCATCATTTTCATATTTTTAGAGCTTAGTTTTTAGTTGGTGACCAGAATTTTCTTGTAATTTACAAGGTGTTGTAAACACTCAGGAGGACAGTTGTTCCCGACCTGAAGTGTGGTTAGATAGGTCAAGAGTACCTCTTGATCCCCACTGGATCAATTGAGAAAAACTTAAAGGATTGAGTAGCTTGGAGTGGTGTTGTACTCCTCGTGAAACACCTTCAATCTAGGCTAGAGTTGTCAAAGCTAGATTGGCACTAAGTGTATTGGGCTTAATACTTTAGTGGAAATCCATCTGAAAGAGGGTGAGACTGGACGTAGGAGGATTACACCACCTCTGAACCAGGATATACCATGTGTTGATTTACTTTCAGTCAACAAAGCACACACCCAACACTTCTCACAAAAAGATTGTAGTTTGCCAGCAGCATCCTAAGCAGTAGTCTTCATTGACCCCACTGCTTATCCTACTGCTTAATCACTTACTTTCTTTGAGACAACTTTCACACAAGAGCCTTGCAATATCACTACCAAAAGGTCTGGTTTATCAGGTCTAGGAAATTCCTCCTTAAAGCATAGCAGTTGCCTCAGCAGTCACTTGGTGACTACCCAACTGCTGAGCCCACTACTGGTCATACAAACTTATTTCCTTTGAACATCTCAACTTCACCGGACCTTCACAATACCATCACCAAGGAGTCTGTTCAACCTGATATTTGAAACTCAAGTTGTAATCCAGCAGGTGCCTCAGCAGTTCCCTCATTGCCACCCAACTGCCAAGACCACTGCTCCAGCAAAACTCCAATTTACTTTTACCCAAGCACATCTTCAGAAAGCTCTCATCATTATGTATAAGGTCACATAATCATCTCTCCCAAACTCCTATTTCCCACTAGCAGTTGCCTCAGCAGTTCCCTGCCATCCAAACAACTGCCAAGCCAACTGCTCACCATTTAAGTCCAAACTTCATCCATTATAGAAAGTTGTTATACACTGTTTATCTAAGAGGTTAAAGACTTCCGTTGTGCATCTATAAATCTCTCAAAAGATTATAGATCAACTCATCTAGAGGGGAAAAGTTTTAAAAGTTGAAAAAGCTTTAAAAGTCTATTCACCCCCCTAGACTTTTACCTCTATACGGGACCATCACTATCATCTGCAAAAAAATAGATGTGACACCCTAGGTGCCCCCTTTGCCACTGAAACTCCAAGGATCATCTCCTGTTTTTCATTTTTCTGATCAACAGACTAAGGCCTTCCGCAACAAGTATGAAAAGATATGGAGATAGGGGGTCTCCCTAGCGTATTCCGTGCCTTGGAAGAATCGGAACGAGAACCGTGTTATCCCGTGCTTTAGTCTCTATTTGTGGTGACATATTTTCCTCCTTGTAACTCATAAATTAATAATTCTGACAACAAAAGGGGGGATAAGCTTCATCGTCAAGAGGGAAACAGCCCGGATCACCAGCTAAGGCCCCTAAATGACCGCTAAGCTCCTCTCCTCCCTTAAGTGCATAATGAGAATTGAGAATGCATGACATCAAAAAAATCTAACAACAACAACATCCAAGCCTTAGTCCCAAAAGATATTGGGGTCGGCTAACATGAATCGATACATGATATCACAACCAAAAGGAAAAGAAAGAAAATAAAGAAAAAAAAGATAAGCTATTATAAAAAGAGATGAATATACATAAAAATGATAAAATAAAAAGGCTACAAATAATGCTTATATATATAATGATAAAAAACAAGGGACAAAAAATATGAGGGAAAAAGATTATACGAGATCACTCCTTCACGCGAATACCCGTCCTCCACTTAGTTCTCTCCAAAGTCATGCCCTCATCCAACCCCAGAAGAAGCATATCACTCTGAACTTCCTTAACCCACGTCTGCTTGGGTCTTCCTCTCCCTCTCTTCCCTGCCTCTTCTCCACACATCTCAACTCGTCTGACGGGTGCATCACTCGGTCTTCTACTCACATGACCAAAGCAACAAAGGCGCGACTCCCGCATCTTGTCTTCAATAGGTGCTACTCCCACCCTTTGTCTGATTGTCTCATTTCTCATGCGGTCCTTCCTAGTATGCCCACACATCCAACGTAGCATGCGCATCTCTGCCACACTCATCTTTTGAATGTGACATTGTTTCACCGCCCAACACTACGCCATACAGTAATGCAGGCCTAATTGTTGTCCTATAAAATTTACCCTTCGGTCTAGTCGGCATACCTCGGTCGCATAGAAATCCTGACGCACTCTTCCACTTCATCCACCCTGTTCTGATTCTATGGGATGCATCTCCATCTAACTCACCGTCCTTCTGAATTATGGAGCCCAAGTAACGGAACATATCGCTGACTGGTATCTCCTTACCATCC